TTATCTCTAATTCCTATTTATCCTCTCCCATACTTTTTATCTATGTCTATCTAAAGAAAGTTTGGATTAAAAAATTTAAGAATTATTTAAATATTTTAGCAAAATTATAAAATAACTTTAAAATATTTATTAAAAACACAAAAAATAATTTTATAATTTTACAAAATATATCACAAGATTATGTACTACCAATTTAAATTATGTTTTTCTGGATTATCAATTTAAATGTTTTCTAAATATTTAATAATATGTAATAGCTTTAAATAAATAAAATTCAAATAATAAAATTTTAAATATTTTATAGATTATTAAAATATTTATCATAACTAGATTTTAAATAGTTAAAATAACGAAATTATGAAATAAATATTTATCATAACTAGATTTTAAATAGTTATTTAAGTATTTAAATAACAAAATATTTAACATAACTAGATTTTAAATAGTTAAAATAAATAAATTATGTAATAAATTTAAAATTATATATATATAAAGTAGAAAAATAACTATAACATAATATTGAAATTAATAATAATTTAATATTTTTACATAATATTGTAAATAATTAATTTCACTTATATCAAGTAATAATTCGAGAAAATAACTTTAAAAAAATCATATTTATTAATAATAATTTTAAAATCTTAATCTATATTTATTATATAATTATATATACTAAAATTAATATTTATTGTCTTTTGTGATAAATGTATTTTAAATAAGTATGTATAAATTTATTTTGTTAAGTTATTTAATAGAAAACTTTCAATAATTATTGAAGATTAAATTACTATTATTGAAAATTTTATATTTAATTTATTGTACTTATTGTATTTATTGTGTTTTTGCTATAAGTTATTGATTAATATTTAGTAGAGATTAAACTATTATTTGAGATTATACTATTTATTGACTAAGTTAATATATTTTTAGTACTTATTGTATTTTTTGTAGTTATTGTAGTTTTCATTATTAATATATTTTCAAAATTTGTGTATTTTTGCTATAAATTTTCAATATTTATGGGAGATTAAACTATTGCTATTTATTAGAGATAAGACTATTAGTTTAGTTGAAATTATGAGTGATCATGAGTTGGTTCGGTGCGGTCATAGGCTATTTGGCCAACTAAATTGACTTGATCAGGTTAGGGAGTTGGTTAGCTGAAACCGACTAACCTTTTGTGAAAACCGACCCACTCAAGTTGTATTGGTTTGGGTCAATTTTTTGGTTTGGTCAGTCCATTCAAAAGATTTAAACTTAAAAATTTTATTTTATTTTAAAAATTATAGTGCAATTATTAAATAATAAATTTAAAAATTAGATTTATGATATAAAACATTTTAGACTGATATATGGGAAAATTCTCACTTTTTCATATTAAAAATTATATTTAAAATATAAAATATTAATATATATACATGGTTAGATCATTCGATTTTGGTCGGTTTACAAATGGCCAAAGTGAAACTGATCCAATTTGGTTGAGTTGGGAAATTTTTGAACCAAAGCCAACCTAAAATACTAGAAAACCAACCAACTCGAGTCGAGTTAATTGGGTTGGTTGGTTTCTTCAGTTTGATAAATAAACCTAACTAAAATTAAATATTGTTATTTTTGTATTATTTTGTTAAAAGTAGTATATAAAATATGAATAATTACTAATTATTTAAAAAGTTAAAAATATAAAACAATTGTATACTCTTATGTGTTTCTATTAGGGTCGTTTATTAGAACACACTTTTAGGGATGACAATTTTTCAATCTCTGATGGGGACCTGACTTCCCCGACCCAATGGGGCTGGGGATGGGGATTGTTTTGGCGAGGCGGGGGCGGGGGCGGGGATGAGGATTAATAGGAATCCCCATATATATATATATATACATACACACACACACACACACACACACACACACACACACATATATATATATATATGTATATATGTGTGTGTATTAAATGTTATTTATATTAAATATACTATTATATTATTTATATTATATATATATATATATATATCAAAACATATTTAAAACATTATTTATAATTTAAAATTTTTATTTATTTTAAAAAATACTATATTCTGAAAACATTTTGGGAATTCGGGTCCCCATGGGGAACCCATCCCCATCAGGGATCGAGGGATAGGGGTTAATTTCAGAATCGAGGTCGGGACTTTAGGCCCACGATTTCATTAAGGAGTGTTTGTTTTGCCCTTAGGCCCATGATTTTTTATTCCAAAAATGCCCCTAACACTTTTTTTGTATAAAAAACAAAGTTGAACAAATGTAACCAATAGAGTGGTTGTCCATGTCTTATTAAGGGCAAAAATGGTAGTTTTATTTTTATTTTCTTTTGATTAAATTTATTTAAATGAACATTAGGGTCAACACTGTCATTTTCCACTATCATCTAATGGAAGATTGGTTAAATCCATTGCAAATTATAAGTAGTGTTTTAGTAAAATGCTAACGATAAAATAAACTTTAGTAAATCCACAAAACTATAAGGGATATTTTAATATATGACCATTTTTATCATTTAACTTTCTCTTAATAAATCTCGTACATCACACGTGTCTCCACTAGTATAAAAATTAAATATAAGACTTCTATTAAGCTCACGCACAGCTAATCAAACTCAGGCACAGCCAATTCAATTAAGAAATGTAACATAACATGGCATCTTTTTAACACCGGCCCCATGCATTGAATTGATCTTTTCTAGTACCCATACTAAAATGATGTAGACGCAGCAATAATTGATTACCTATTTCCATCATAACTTATAAAATTACAGTTGATGTACAATAGATTTACCATTCTTTTATCTTATTTACAGGCTTACGGCCAATTGAGCGGTGAAACTTAGTGATGTATTTTTAAGATTTATTTGGGTTTCCCTACCATATTCATGTGTGTATCTTAAATTTTTTTCCACCGTGTCCTAGCAATTCCTAAGCGTATATATTAACATGTCTCTTAAAATTGCCTCCTTGTGATACTGATACTTGGAATTTTGGCTAAAATTAGAAAATGATTTAATCCCAAATCCTATAAGTTGTGCCAATTAATCATTCAGATTTAAAATATCAACAGAAATCAATCCTCTTGAATGATTTAATATTAAAATCAGAAAAAATGTATTCATTTCAACAGTGTAAAACCCTTGTGGAAAAGGTTGTGATGAATAGAAACAGTGAAATACATTTTATCTAATCTAGCATCTTGTCAATCAATAAAATATTAAAAGAACAGAGAACTGCTATGGTATTGCCTCCTGGACTTTCGGGGTTTGCGGTATCATTATGCAACAAAACATAGATGTCTTGAAACAAAGTCAGTCCATGAGCTTGTATCTTTTCTCTTGGACACCACTAACTCCCATTTGTATCTCAATTATGGTATGAAGTGGTACCTGAAAATGGAAAAACTGTGCTGGTTAGGACCACAGTATATATCATGATGTGCGGTCAAAGTACTCAAATACCATCCAATCCTTTTTTCCTAGTAATATGATTTTCTTTAAACTTCCATCTAGTATGTTGCAAGAAACGTTCACAGGATGAAAGAAATCGGCAATGCCAAACTAGATATGTTCACGGATGCAAACAATGGATATTACCCAAATTTAGTGGCTTCACGATGTATATGAAACAATCCCCACCTTTTGTCTTTAAACAGAACAAAAAACACCAAAACATTTCAGTACGGGTTACCTCAATATGTGGAATTTCTTTTAAAGGCCTGTCTGCAAAATATGCATATAATGCTCTCAGTACCGCCTACATAGAAACAAAATGGTACAGTTATATGGCTGCCGAATACTGATTAAAATTCAAAATAAGCTACAATTTAATTCAATGTGTATAACCTGGTGAGAGATCACTACAACAGGTGCACGTTGTCGTTCAAGCTCAATAATTACAGGTTCTAGTCTGCATTAATATTTTAAAATATATTTATCAGAATTAGCTGGGAAGCAGAATTAGAATACTTGAACCAACATGTCTACCCATTGAAATTGAAAACCAATAAGCTGCAAACCTTTGGATAACATCCAGGTAAGATTCTCCGCGAGGATAACGATACCTCAGTTTGTCCTTCTTACGGGACCTGCAATTAGAGAACAGAGCATAGAATCCCGAGTGACAGAGACGGACAAAACAATAAACAAGTCCAGTGGAATCCTTCATGTCTCACGTCCAAAATCCATACCATAGTGTAAGAGCATGGACGGGTAAAAATCATAGTTGCTAGAAGGTTACAGAAACCCTTCCACTTAGGAAGAGAGGAGAAAAATATAAATAGCACTCATTCCACATAAAAGAACTCTCTCTCTCTCTCTCTCAGGGGAAGAGCCAGGGGGTGGCAGAGGGGAGACATGCCCCCCCCCCCCTCCATGCTTGCTAGTTTTTGGCCCCCCTCAATAAAAATTCCTAGCTCTGCCCCTGTGTGTAAGAGCATGGACAAGCTGAAACCATAGTTGCTACTTGCTAGAAGGTTATAGAAACCCTTGCACTTAACGGAAGAGGAGAAAAATATAAATAGCATTCATTCCACGTAAAAGAGGACTCACTCTCTCCCCCTCCACCTGAGAAAATCACAGAAACTACATCCGGCCTGACCCCTCTCCGCAGGGTATCTAGTGCAGCCCCTCTCAGGGATCTGGCCACACTTGTTTCCCCTACCAATTCCAGACATCTCTTCTTGGACCTTCAAAGACCACCCTCTGCCGTATCAAACACAAAAAATTCAAAACCCTAACTTTTTCTTTACCCCATTTTTTTGAAAAATAATCCTCTATGCCCACTTTCTGTAAAAAGGCTCAGTGAATTTATCAAAAGCTTCCAATATTTTCCACAAATATTTGGAGTCGACACTGTGCTTGGAAATATTCTTGATTCTTTTGTCATCACAAATAGGAAGAATAAAAAAAAGAGTAGGTTCCCTTTAGTTTTGAACTAAAAGTATTTTTTTTGGTAAATTAAGGCAATGTTTGGCATCGTTGATGATTTTTTTTTTTTTGCCGATTAGCCAGAAATCACCAAAAAATTGTTGTTTGGTATCATTTATGCCATGTAAGCTGATTTTTGAGAAATCGGCTTTGAGGCTGTTTGGTAATGATTTTAAAGGACTGATTATTTTTGTATTAGAGTTATCATTCAATGCCATGTTGGATGCCTGTTAGGAGTGGGAGAAATCGGCACGAGCTGGGTTAGGTGGGGGTTGAGGAATGAAGTCGGGAATGTGATATTTATCTTCTCAGGTCCTTTAGGAGTGGGAGACTCTACTAGAGCAGAAATATTTGCTGCCCTGCAAGGTGTACAGTTTGCAGCTCAATTAGGGGTGAACCAGCTAATAGTTGAAGGTGACTCAAAGGTTGTAATAAGCTGGTTGCAAGACCCAGAGTCGGTAAGTTGGTGCTTCAGGAATGAAATTAAAAAGCTTAAGGTGCTGACAAGAAACATGGACCTAAGAATACAATGGGTGGGGAGATCAGCAAATGCTATGGCGGACTGTCTAGCCAAGCAAGGGGCAGCTAGGGATGTTTTGTATTGGGCACAACTGTAACTTATTGCTTTTGTTTTCTTCTTTAGTGGAGAGACTGCAGCTCGCGCCTCTCCAAGGGCTGCTTGTATGTGCTAATTTTTCCAAATTAATAAAAAGTTCATTTATTTATCAAAAAATGCCATGTCATCCTCAAAAAATCGGAACCAGTTAAAAATCAGGAAATCACCAGAAAAAAAAAGTGATCTCTGAAAAGGGCTGATTTCATGATCGATTTTTGGCCGATTTCCTAAAAATCACCAAAATCGGCCAACCAAACAGAAAATTCAACGCCGATTCCTCTATTGCTGATGTGGCTCCAACGGGGTAGTGATTTTCAAAAAATCATCATCAATGCCAAATATCTCCTAAAATGGAAGGCCATGTCTTTTTATTGGAACAAAATAAAGTTGAGGTAATGATAATTACCTAAAACAAAGATTGAAAATATTGTAGGCATGCAGAATGCCATATTTAGCAAAGCATTATTCATAAAGAAAAACTTTCAAAAGCTCTTCCATGTGTTTCTCCCGAAATCCTAATGCATTCAAAGAAAAGGATCATATTCAAAATTGTAGGACAAATGTGGGGTCCAGCGAGATAGTGAACCAAACCTAAAAGCATTAATTTCAATATTCAAAACCATTAAACATTTGGAGCCTGAATAAAAGTGTCAAATGATGATGGACAAATTTCGAATGTAGATGCAAAGAAAACATAGAATGCAGACAAGGAAAAGGGGTACAACCAGGGAGAGGCCTGCCAGAGGGGGTGCCTCTAGCTCCTTTTTTTTTTTTTGGTTGGTACGTCCACTTTCAATCAAGTATATTTTCTTTGGTTAGCTATTCTATATAAAGCAGGTCAACTGTTTAGGAAAGTTCTCCTACCTTCCAAATAAAAATGCTAATCAGGATCTTGTCTGAGATGATAGGGCTGCTGCTCAGCAGTTCCATCTAAACCCATGTGCAGTGTTTTAAAACCACAAGGCACAAAAAAAGTGCAAAGGCTATTTAAAAAAAAAAATCAAACTTTAATTATATGTATATATATTAAAAGAAGGAAGTCTAGAAATTTTCTCCTTTTTTTGAATTTTTTAATTTTTTAATCCATGTCATCTTCGAAACTACCAATTAGAAACTCCACTTTCCCCAAAACAAATCTCTCTCTCTCTCACACAAGTTCCAATAACCTAAATAATCTAATATCCTAAAATTTCTCCTTAACAATCTCCCCCACTATCCCCAACTTTCTCCTAAGTTATCTCTAATTTAGTAGAGAGTTTCTCTCCTAAATTATCTCTAATTCTTATTTATCTTCTCCCCCACTTTTTATCTACATCTATCTAAAGAAAGATTGAATTAAAAAAAATAAGAATTATTTAAATATTCTAACAAAATTATATAATAATTTTAAAATATTTATTTAAAAGACAAAATAATTATAATCGATTTAATAATATTCATATTATTACTAATTATAGATTTTTACAAAATCCATCACGAAATTCAATGTTATTCAAATAATAAAAATATAACATTAAAAATGAAATATTATTTAAATATTTCAATAACTAAATATCTTAAATAACAAAATATTAAAATTAATATTTTAAATCAATTAATAATATGTTTTAAATAGTTACTGAATAACTTTCAATTATAATAAATAGATTAATATTTTAAATAACAAAATATTTAACATAACTAGATTTTAAATAGTTAAAATAACAAAATTATGTATTAATAGTACTATAATTTTATGGGTTATTAAATTCAACAAGTAATTAATATTTTAAAATTTAAATAATGATATTATTTCAATAAATAAATAATATTGTAAATAACTAATCTCATTTATACCAATTAATAATTCTACAAAAATAACTCTCAAAAAAAAATATTCTTTATGAATAATGATTTTAAAGACTTAATCTTTAATTATTATATAGTTATCTATACTAAAAACAATATTTATTGTATTTCATTAATTAATTATTGCTTTTTGTGATAAATATATTTTCAATAATTATGTATAACTCTATTTTTCTTTTGTTATTTAATACAAAATTTTCAATAATTATTGGAGTTTAAACTACTGTTATTTAGCTTTTTAAATTTAATTTATTATGTATTTTTGCTATAAATTTTTAATAATTATTGGATATTAAACTATTGTTCACGGGTTGGTTCAGTTCAGCTATAGGTTGTTTGGCCAACCAAATCGACTTGGTCAAGTTGGGGGTTGGTCACTCAAGTTATATCGGTTTGGTTGGTTGGTTCAAAAATTAAAACTTACAAATTATGTTTAAATTTAAAAAAAAAAATAACAATGGCATTATTTAAAAATTAAATTTATTATATAAACTATTTTAGCCTAAGAAATATTTGAATTTTTCCACTTTCCCGTATTAAAAAATATTAATATATATCTATGGTCGGACCATTCGATTTTAGTCAATTTATAAATGGCCAAAGATAAATTGATCCAACCCAGTGTTAGGAAATTGTTGAACCAAAGCCAATTGGAAATACTAGAAATCGGGTTGGCCAGTTTCATTAGTTTGATTCGGAATGGCAACGAGCGGGGACAAGGAACTTTCCCCATCCCCGTCACCACGAAAATCCCCATCCACATCCCTATCCCCATCTCTGCTAATAGGGACAAAGTTATCCTGATCCCCGTCTCCACAGAAATTCCCACTCCCCGTAATTCTTTATAATGTCAACCATTATGTTTTTGTTTTTTATTTTATTTAAAAAATAATTAAAAATTACAATCCTATTGGAAAAGATTCAAACATATTCAACCATATTTTTAAAAATATTAACATATGTATGTGTACATATATACATATATAAACATATGTGTATATATACATATATATTAGCGGGGATCCCATGGGGTCAGGGTCCACACGGGGCAGGGAGTGCTCTCCCCATCCCCACCAATGGGGATGAAAATTTCCCCATCTCCATCCCCGTAGGGGGGAAATCATCCCCACCCCATTCGGGGCAGATCCCCACAGGGATCGGGGAAATGGGGAAAATTGCCATCCCAAAGTTTGATAAACAACCCCATCTAAAATTAATTATTATTATTTTTGTATTGTAAAAAATTATTAAAAGTAGTATATAAAATATAGATGATTATTAATTATTATATAAAACAATTGTATACTCTTACATGTTCCTATTGTTTATCTTTAACTTAACAAATCCCATGCATCGCATAGGTCCCCGCTAGTAACATATAAAACAAAGTGAAAATGCAAAAATAAAATGAAAAAGAGCATACCAAACATATTCAAGCATGTCAAACTTTTAATTTCTTTATTTTGTTCTCAATTGCATTATTTCAAATGGTTAATGTGATGTTACATCTTTCAGTCCTAGTTCTACAAGCTACCTTTGTACCAAGCCCCTTGAGGAAAGCCCAAAAAAGTCCATGTTAGGGCCTATATCCTGCTCATTCCTATTGCTTCATTAAGCCTCTATAGCCCCTTAAGAATCATCAAATAAAACCTTACAGCTCAGCAACTTTCCTCATATAAACAAACTCTAGATTTCTCACCTTTTAACCTCCGAAAGCTAACCAACTTTTTTATATTATTTTTCAACTGCCCCACTGCATTAAAGGATCCATAATATTCTCAGACAGGATACCTGATATGGATGTTCCTGTCTTTAAATTTTTAGAGTGACACATAAGTGAAACAATTTCCACATAAAAAATGAAAATTTTACAGTGAATTTTGTGTAAGCACATAGAACATACTCATATTCCTCTGGCATATTTTTCTTTATCTCCTCGTATGTCATTCCATCACATACTCCAGCATTTATCTCATCAAGTGCACGCCATTGTATCTAGAAAATATATCAATGGAATTAATTTTTCTCCCTAGCCATTTCAGAATGCACAATTAACAAAGGAGTGATGAGACTTCACATCTGCGCCCCACAGAGCGTGCCCCACATGCACATCTCAGCATGCATTGGAAACATCTCCCATACTTGTCACTGGGAGATGTTCCCAATACAGGGTTGGGATGTGCTGTGGGGTGCCCGTGGGGTGCACTCTGTGGGGCACAGATGTGATCTCGAATGATGAGCATGCAGTTAAGCACTTACCTTTGGGAATCCAACAATCGGTCTTGCAGTCAAAATTGTTCTCTGCAGTGTGCTTGTCCATATCTGAACCACCAAAAAGAACATAAAACTGTTATAAGCAGATCACCATGAATTAACAATACCGTGGCTCCCCCGTCTATTGGAGATTTCAAAGCACATAAATTGACAAAGAAACGTTTTGACCTTTCTCTATCAGGTAAAATTTGGAGATCTAGAAAAAGGAAATGAAAGCAGCAATTAGATGATGCGTCCACCTTCATTTTAAAAGCATTTTTAGGTCATGAATGGAAGAGATATAACCAATACTAGTAGTTATTGATAAGAAAGTTTGATTAATAAGCATAATTCCTGAGGATAAGACCTGCCTGTGGCAGATATTTTGACCTTCAAATGCTAAAATCCTTCATTTTAAAAGCATTTTTAAGTCATGAATGGAAGAAATATAACCAATACTAGTAGTTATTGATAAGAAAGTTTGATTAATAAGCATAATTCCTGAGGATAAGACCTGCCTGTGGCAGATATTTTGACCTTCAAATGCTAAAATCCTTTACATGGTCCAACTGCTAGTTTAATAAACAAACAAAATTTCCTTTATCTATTTTTTGTTTCCAAGGGAATTATTTCCAAATTATTCATTAATAATTTTTTGGTCATTGTATTGCAGAGGAATCAACAAAGTACTCTTCATGTGATGATGCTATTGACTAGTTGACCAACTTTTTGCTAAGGGAAACCACAATAATTGAACCCTGCAGCTCAAGCTCATTTGAGTTCACACAAATTAAAAACTTAACACAGTGAATGATGAGGGTGATTGGGACTTCTCTCATGTGGGTTGACTGCCTCCATGTATATTTGCTTATGTTCTATCTGTCAGTATTTGCACAGTTGAAAGGCATTGTGAACAATCAAGTTGAAACTTGTAAATAAATCAAAAGCAAAATCAAAGCTAAAATTCTTGTTTCTTTTGACAAGTATAAGAAAGTTTATTGAAGTATAAGATAGTACGTGTACATGCACAAAAAAGAGCCCACATTGAAGACCTAATAAAGTATACCTCCCTTCCATATCCAAATCTAAGATTCTTGCAATATGGTTTGGCTTTGAATTATTAATCATGGTTAAGGGCTGTTTGGAAGAAAGCCATCATATGAAGATAAGACTTTTGGTGGTGAAACTTTCCTCCCCATGGTAGACATCCCTATGATAATCTATGAAAGAATTCTCTTTCAAGAAATGTCACTTTGTTCGAATCATAAAATGCATCTTTTTGTTGCTAGATACTTGGGCATGACTGCAGACTGGGAGGCTCCTCAACTGACAAGGGAGCTATTTAAACTTGTGGGTTTTGACTAGTTTTAATCCCTAGGAAGGGTGGGTTGGGATTTAGGAGAGTGAAGATTTTTAACAAGGCCTTGGTAGGGAAGTGGTTATAGAGATTTGGTTTAGGGAGAGAGTTTTAACAAGACCTTGGCTTGTGGCCATGGACAGGATATTGACTGTGGACCATCTGAAATCTAGGGGCTTCAGCATGGCTAACATGTGTTTCCTCTGCAAAGAACAGGAGGAAACTGTTGGTCATCTATTCTCCTCATGCAAGATAGTTGGGTTTTTCTGGAGGATATTTACTTCTATGTTCAGGTTCACAAACTTTCAGCCAGAATCTGCTGCAGAAATTTTTTCTACATGGCCAAAGTTAAGAGGTAGCAAGAAAGTAAGAATGCTTTGGAGATATATCCTGTTCACAATCTGCTGGAACATATGGAAGGAAAGAAATAGAAAATCTTTGAAGACAAATATTGGAATCTGGACAATATTGTGGTAGCTGTCAGTAAGTCGGTTGCAGACTGGGTCCTATTAACTCCAGAATTTAATTAAGTCTCTAGGGAGGATTTGGGGGACAAGTTGGGAACCTGGGATATATATTTTTGGGATATCAACTTTGTAATTTGGATAGTTTACTTTAATTCTGTTCCTAGCAGTTCTTTTGTGTTTTTTTGGTTATGGGTAATGCCTTATTACCTGCTAGATTGTAATCTTTCCTTCTCTCATTTAATGAATTTTCATTTTATCTTCAAAAAACAGTTTTAATCCAAGGGAAATTTAGCTCAGACCTAATGGCACAGAACACATTGGCAGTGCTCCCTTCATCAGACTATTCAGAGGTAAAAGTAGATAGTTTATCAAAAGAAAAAGGCTCATGAAGATATTACTGAAAGCTTAGAGAGGTCTACATTTGAGTTTTTTGATATCCCCATGGAGTTGTTAATAAGCATGCAATATTCGCATGATGGTAGAGCCTCCATGGCTCCATCAGATGTTCTTAAGCTTGAAGTGGTTAATAAGTGGTGATCTTTAACAAAGAGTGTTAAAAAATGACAGGAGAAATAATCTAGAGCAATTTAATTCAGAGCATCTATAGAAGATTTGAGAAATCTAGCTGGTCAAAACATATTATGCTTCAATGAAAACTAACCTTGAAAGGCAAACCAATTAATAAATAAAAAAAGTAAACACGGAAACAAACATATATATGCATGTATATAATAAACATGAGGAAACTTACAGAAGCAGCCCGTTCAGATTTTAGCCTCTTTTCCACAAAGTTGGCAAGTTTTTTTGAATAAAGTTGTCCAGCTTCACTGCTTGAAAAAAAAAAAAATATACAAAATCAATACTTGGGAAGAACTTTATGGGGGAACTAAGAATATACCATGAAAAGTGGTTGAAGGGGATCAAAAGAAAAATGGTCACTTGTGAGAGAAACCACAATTAAAGGCAGAAAAGAGATAAGGAAGACATAATTGGACATAATGAGCAAATGGCAGAGAAAAGGCAGACAAGGAGGTTAAAATAGCATGATCATGGAATAGAGTTGAATAACAATTGGATCTCACAGATAAAGAACCAAGAGTAGAAAAGATGTAGGGAACTAGAGAGAATATATCCTTGCATATATCCTATTTTTGGGGTCATTTCACACTTATTGCACTATATGCTTCATGCATAATTTAGAAACAGACATGTATAAAGATGGCAATGAGACATTAATTTTCCTTAATGGTTACTAGCAATATCACTTGTAACTATCAACTATCAACAAAGATTTAAGAAACACAAAACATCTTTTTTAAATTTTGAATGACCTTTATATATTAATATTGTGTCTGTACTGTGTTGTTCTTATAATTTAGTACTAACAGTAACTTTTTCTCCATATTTGTGAGATCAGATTTTGTATGAGATCGGGGCCCAGTGGCTATTGTATAAAGGTGTCTTTTTCCTTTTTTTCTGCATTTTGCTTGTTTTTATTCACATGTTGTCAGTAGTGCTGTATCTTCATCCCCTTCTGGCCTTCTCTATATTTCAGAGGGTATGGATCTTTTTTATTTTCATTAATGATAAAAAGAATATTATCACATTATTTTAGTTTATCTAATTGCATATTAGTGGCCCATTGATCCATTGAATTGAACAAAACCTGCTCTTAGTAAGAGATCAATGTTTCAAGGTGTTCCGTCATTTATATATTTTCAGAGAGGTAGAAGTTTTTAGTATATTTCAAGAAGCACAGAAAAGATTGAACGGAAAACACAAACTGGGAGTAAACAACTTCGATATTTCTCCATTTGTTTATAACATTACATCTAATGCTTAAACAATAACCACAAACCCCTTGCTGGGGGTCCTAGGGGTTAAGGCTGATAATGTGTATCCCTATTTATTATCTTGATTGCCACGTTGGATGACTTTCTATTTGCTATTTGTGTCTACATCTTCATATTGCATATTTTCGGATCCAATTACTAAAAGACAATATAGGCATTCTCAACAATGGCAACTTGCTTGCAGTGTAGGAAGTCCTATAAATACTATCAAGGTCATTGAGAAAATCAAGGCCCTGGCATTTTCTGTATGAAATGCATGAAGAAGATTTCAATCATCTTGACATGTTTGTGCTTTTGGTAAAATGACTAAACCACTGAAATAATTCCCTTATCATATTGTATAATAAACTGCACCTCAAAACTGTGTCTCCCCCAATTCTGCCCCTAACATTATCTCGACTTTCTCCATGGCGAGTAAGCAATATTGGGCGGGGTGTGAGATGTGTATTCACCTGTAACGAAATAGAGAATAAGACACATCCTTGAGAAACATGGTAACAATTTTCAACAATGAAAATGGCAAATCATAGAAGCAGCTAACATTTCAGTTGAAGGAGATCTTGCACTCTAGCCGGGCATCTTAGTCTAAGTGATTTAACAGCTTCATTATAAATATACTTCAGCATCCTTCTTTTGCTCCATATCCACTTAAAAGGTAGATAAGTTCTTTTTTTTTTGGTTTTTGGTATTCATGATTGTAAAAGGAGGACCAAAAATAACATGGATTTATATGACATTTTTTATCATACAACTTACCCACCGCAGATTTTTTTTTCAGTTCACAAATATGCACCATTCTAATCAAAGAATAAAAGAAATAAATAAGATTCCGAATAAAGCCTGCAGCCTTGAATTTCTATGTTTTGACATACCAAGAAAAAGACAATCCTTCCCGGAAGGTAACCACTGATATTGTTCACCTGAATCAACAGACAAGATTGATCAATTATATTACACCAAAAGCTAATAATTACAAAAACTAAAAAAACAACATACACTTGGAAATCAATGATATCAGCAAAACAAACCAAAAGAAATTTCAATCTAAAAAAAGAAGCATGCTGAAAGGTCTAAGGCTCAGTTTGGGAAGAGTACAAATACAAATATGTACAGTGCAAAACCTTCTATTTTCTATTATTTTGTATTCCTAAACCTCATATTTGCACTGTACATATTTGTATTTGTACTCTTCCCAACTGAGCCTAAAATGTAATTCATTTGAATTTACACCATAACTGAACAACTTAGCTTAACATATCTAAACAGAAGCCCATAGAAAATCTATATCATTTTGACAAAAGCAACCTAAATCCTAAAAATAATTAAGGAACTAAACGTATTAAGGAGAACATCCATTTTCTTCCAAAATTGGGTGTTTATATCTCACAGAAAAATGATGGACAACTAAATACTCAGAAAGCATAGATAATTGCACAAGGGGCCATCTCCACAGAATTTCCAATTGGGAAATGAAATCCATCCATTTACCTTGAAGCCTATGCTAAAGTCTTTTTTTCTTCTTTTCTTTTCTTTTTTTTTTTGTTATGGAGAAATGACCAAAGAAAAAAAAAATAAAAAATAAAAAAAAAAAAACAGAAATAGAGCCACTAGATCTCCCATTATGAGCACAATTTGTTTAAGTCTCAATTTTCAAGCATTTAACTTCCAAATACTAGATCAATGAGATTACACTACGTAGTTATATGTCAAAAGATAAGATATGCAACAGAAAATATATATAACTGGGCCATCTGCTATTATCAAATTTAGGATCAAAATATCAAGAGAACAGTAAACTTGAAGAAATAAAATGGCAACAGAAGATATACTAAACAAAAGCCAGATCATGAATATAAAAGGATTCTGGCAAAATATAATTAGAAAGATAGATGTCTACACTGTATAACAGGGAGAAGACAAAGAAAGGACATACTTGTAACTGCCCACCATGTCCACTAGCCATATCGATCATCTTGATGTATGAGCCTTCTTCCACTGGCTCATAAACCTGGTGAAAAAGCAGAAATTACTTTGAGCACAGATACAAGAAATGCACCAAACATAAGTTCAAGTGAAATCTCAGAAGCAACAACTATAAAAAATAACTAGAAAGTTTGAAGCAAGTACCTTCTCATAATTGGCTAGTCGTGTTTTGAAGTCTCGCATTCCAGCTTCAAAATCTGGCCTGCAAAATACCACCAGTTGCATTATTCACAATGTTAAGATAAGAATGAACCACAAACACAAACTGCAGCATTCACTATTTCATGTTAAGCAATGCCTCGGCCAAAGAGAACAAAGCTACATGTGATACTTACTCTTCTGCATAGTCAGGACTTTGTTGAACTTTAAGACGTATGTTTCTTTCAATAATCCGCTCATCATTGCATATCGTTTCCAAAAATATTATCTACAAGGAAAAGGCCAAGTGTAGTCAGGAATTACAGTTATGCACAATGTTTTAAATACCGACCCGGAACCAGAACCATTCTAGCCACTGATTTCCGGGTCAACGGTTCAACCATCCGGTTTGAATGGATGGCCCATTCTGACAAAAATTAAAAAATAAAATAAAAACGGCCAAAAATGTTGAACGGGTCAACGGTTCAAGCACCCGACTCAATGGGTCATTGACCAATTCAATGGTTTTTGGTCGGGGACCGGGTTTGGGGTAAAATGGAACCAATTGCCTAGATGGTTCCCAGTCTGAATGGTCCGACCGTCCAGGTCAACGGCGGTTTGAAAACATTGGTTATGCATCATCGTCATCATTATCTAAGCCTTGTCCCAACTGTATGGGTTGGGCATATGAATCATGTTTCGCTATTCCATTCTGTTCAGTGTCATATCCATCATCAAATTACAGTTATACATCCAAAACCTTTTTGCCCAAAACTAGCTTGACCAGAGATATTTAACAAGGCATTCCCAGGATACCAGATGAGCAAAGACTATATTCAATGACTCACATCAACTGAATAGGCAAGATGCAAAGAAGATACATTCCCTTTGTTCTGTTGAAACTTAAATGGTTAGGGATATAGGACCCAATCCAGTTAATACAAACATGTATTAGGTCAATTTATTTGCTCATCCATGAAAATCTATGAAGAAAACTTTAATCTCAGGAAAGATATTAAAAGCAAAAAAGCAAACCAAGCTTACTAATATTGTCTAAGAATTAACTTCAGCTCAGTGGCCTCTATTTCTTACTTCCTACTTGTCTTCCCTTTTTTGTGCAGCTTAACAATGATTTTCTAATTGTTAATTAGAAGAAATACAAAAGGGAAAATCTATGACTTTGACCAATCACCCCCCCCCCAAAAAAAAAAAACAAAAAAATTAACGAATACCACCCACTTTTATGATGCTAGTTCATTTGTTATAAGTATTTCAAGAACCAATCCTCTGCTTGTGAAAGACAACTGAAGGAATGTGATTGGTTCGGCCTGTAATTGTAAGAGGGGACCTTGGAGAATCACCCATCTGCAAAATGAGACTTGGGAGATTTCAAAAGACCTTAGCTGATTATTTTTAGATGGATCCCGAGGGAGCTGAACTCTTTGATTAATTCCTTTTCAAAATTGGGGATGGACAGAGATTCTTTGTATAGTGCTAATTTTTTACCATTGTAATTGGTTTGGGGTTCTTTTTGGTGTTTGTACACCCCCCCACCACCACCACCTTTTTTGATTCTTGAATGAAGATTACCCTTTTTTCAAAAAAAAATAAAAAATATGCATTCTTACATGTTTAGGTTTAAAAGAAAAAACAGGACCTGCTAACCAAGTAAAACCTAAATATCAGAAAATGCATGGCAAAACTTTGAAAGAGACATCTAAGGTTGGCATAACCAGCCAGATTATCGGGGTGTTTGGTTCCGTTTACGTTTATTGAGTAAACGTTTTGTACTTGTGTAGCTGCAAAACCGAGAAAAGCAATTAATGAGGGTATTTATGACACATAGGCACCATTAGGCACCACATCAGCAAAGTACCAATAAACGCCTACCCGTTTCAGGAAGCTCCAAAATGAAGCTTCCTGAAACGGGAGAGGCACACAGAAACCGATGTTTGCTTTTGCAAACATCGATACATACAGAAGCAATTAATGAGGCATTTGCTGATGGGGCACCCATGTGGCACCCTTTACTCAGTTAACGTAAACGGAACCAAACATATACTATAAAAGCAGAAGCAGTCCACCAACAATAGACAAGCCGTGAATGAAAACAACCATCACTCAACAAGTCCTACCCAGGAGATCCTCAAAAAAAAAGGCCAAGTGAATGCAGTCAACCACTCCATATATTTTCCCAGGCACCACTGTTGACAGGAATTTACCAAGAGAGAAAACAATGACTATTGCTTCATGGGATGATAAAACCTCAGGCTGAAAGCATGAAAACAAGGGTTCAAGTTTGAGGGTGGCCACTTTGTGCTAAAAATGCCAGAGGTTAGGTCCGCATCCACTCTTTCCAAGACCAGATTGCTGGGACCAGCATTGGGCCATGGCCTTTTTGGATAGCAGTAGTGGTTATTCATCAGGTTGACTTCTGCGTAGAAAATCTTCTCAAGTGGAAACAATATATGGTAGCAGGTATCCCTCCACCTGTGCATGCCCCATGAACTATAAAATCCACCTAACAAGTATCTTAAATATTCTTAGAAAAATCCTTGATAGGTTATTCTACCTTGCATTTCCCTTCAGCCATTTTCATTAGCATATTCCTCCGTGCCCTGCTACTGTTTGTGGCATCAAATATTCCAACCTACAATTCAATCAGAACAACTATAAGCAAATAAGGTCATGAAGAATCTTATAAAATCAATATAAGCACCTTACCTGGCCGCCTTCTTGCATCCATGATATCATATCATCCATTGCCAGGGCTGCTACCTAGTGGCATGTGATACATTAAGACTATGTGAAAGAAGAAAAAGTTAATCAGGTGTAAGATGAAACCTAATGTAATCATCTCAGTGCCTAAAGAAAACAAAAGACACAACTTTCTAAAGAAAACCAAATTCAACATTTAACAAGTTTTTTCCTGTTACATGGACATATGACACATGCAGATATTTCATATTTGGTTTTTTTTTATCAGTAACAGTGAAATTTTATTAATGATAAAAACAAGATTACAATGGGATGGAGCTAAAAGGTCTTAACTCCAGTTACCCAAGAACTTTCTGATCTTGTAGTGATTACAAAACAGCCCAGAATAATGTGTCTCTATTTACCCCTTACCTAGCTAGACCATCAGCCAATGCATTTGCACTTCTCTTTATCCAATTACATTGAATTTCCATGTCCCTGGTTAACCATTTATGTTTCCTCTTTTCATTGCTGTATTTCCACATCATAGCACTGTCCTCTGTTAGCCATTTCACTACCATTGCAGAATCACCTTCTATAACCACCTTTTTGATCTTCATTTCTTTGACCCTTTGAATTCCTTCAATAGCTCCAAGAATCTCAGCCATCAATGAATCTCCCACCCCAATCGGCCCAGAGTACATGGCTAACACGTTCCCTGTTCCATCCCTTATCACACCTCCAATTCCAGAAGGCCCTGGGTTGCCTATGCTGCTACCATCAAAATTCAGTTTGGTGAATCCAATAGGTGGAGGACTCCAGCAAGTTTTTGATAACTTTCTACATAGGCCTGAACCTGCAATCTCCTTCCAATTCCTTAACAACTCACCAACTGAAAACACTTTGAACAGCTCCAGTGTTCTCAACCATTGTGTCATTCTAATGTGAATGCTCTCTATAATTTCTTCCATACCTCTCTCTTTACTTGAGAAGATCCTTGAGTTCCTCTCCTCCCACACTGTCCAACATACTGCAGCTCTACCACACCTCCACATGATTTTAGCCCTTTTAGTTGGCCAATTAGGCATGGAAGAAAACAAGCTTTGAACATTCAAAGGGGGGGTCCACCTGCATCCAAACAAAGAAGTAAACCATACCCAAATAGCTTTAACAAACTGACAAGAAATTAGCAAGTGATATCCGGACTCACCATCAGACTTATAGAGAACACACCAATGAGGAGACAAACAGTTGTTGGGTCTTTTCCTTTGGAGTAGATCCCCTGTATTAACTCTTCACAGGAAGGCTTACCAACAAAAACTCCCAACCTTAGGAGGTATAGGTCGACACCACACTTCTTTAACAAGAAAAGAAAAGCCAGCGGGATGAGAGGGTAATAGTGCTTTGAAAAAGGAGGCACAAGTATAAGAGCCTGAGGGAGTGAGTGTCCAGATTCTTCTATATGCTTTAGATGGATCAATAAAGACCCCTTCAAGGATAGAAAGTAAGGCTATGGTACAGGCAATCTCTGTGTCCCTAACACCTCTTCTCAATCTTATGTTCCAACCAAACCCAAAGGGTGAATTAGAAGGAGCAATAAAGGAAGAAATCGGTTCATTCTTGAGGGAGGACAAAGCAAAAAGGTTTGGAAATTGATCTTTCAGAGGGAAGTCCCCAACCCAGACTTGTTCCCAGAATTTGATAAGGGTACCAAAATGCAAGTCATACCTGATCCATGGAGAGAATAAAGGCAAGATGGCTTGAATGGCTCTCCAAGGGGAAGCTCTTGTGGCTCTTGCTAGAATTCCTAAATCCCAACCATTATCTGCTAGTCCATGTATACTTTCCACCACCTTAACCCACAACCTATCTTTCTCCAGTGAGAATCTCCATAACCATTTTCCTAGTAGTGCCAAGTTCCTAGTCCTAATATTACCAATACCCAACCCTCCCTCCTCTTTAACTCTACAAACCACCTCCCATTTGACCCTATGGTCCCTCTTCTCCTCCCCCGGCTCCCACAGAAAATCCTTCATTAGCTTTTCCAACCTATTGGCCACCTTCACCGGTATCCTAAAAACTGATAGAAAATATACAGGAAGGTTAGCCAACATAGACCTAATTAGGGTGATTCTCCCTCCAAGGAACAAATAATTTCTTTTCCAGTTGGCCAGCCTCTTTTCAAATCTCTCCACAACAGGGACCCAAAAATCATCTCTCTGAGGATTRTCTCCCAAAGGTAAGCCCAGGTAGTTTAACGGCCAATTAGACACTACACATCCCAAAATATCTACAAACTCCCCCATCTCCCCTTTCCCCATATTGACTCCAACTATACAACTTTTTTCAAAATTCACCCTAAGATTTGACATCTATTCAAAGAGTTGTATAGAGAGTTTCAAATTTTTAATCCAATTGACATCCCCACCTTCACAAAACAGAATCGTATCATCTGCAAATTGTAGATGTGTAAGTGGTACATTATCCCTTCTAACTCTCCACCCTCTTATAAGCTCCCTGGTATTTCATATTTGGTATCTGTCATCCAAATCAAACAACTGCAGAGAAACTCATACCAAAAGTTGGCCAAATTAGATGATTGTAGTGATTTGTTCTCTAGATATTTATGTGGACCATTTGCCATATTTACAACCACATAGCAGAAAGCAATTGATCATACAACTAAAGCATTCAATTGGATCAATTTCTGGCATAGGAGAATGTGTAGATGTGATTGATCAGATAAAAATATGGAGGTTTCATCCCCCTGCATAGCTGTCAAGGCGATGCCTAGGCGACAAGGCAACCTTTGAGCCTCACCTCACCTAATCACCAAGCAGTTTTGTACTATGTATTATAAAATACTTTTTTATTTTTGACATTATAATTATAAAATAGGCACTATTGAACTAAAATATTCATTTTATGTTTTTATATTCTAATTTCTTTTTATTACTTTCTTATTTGTTAGGGTTCAATCAATACAAACATTGCTAAATGCTGTATTGAACCCTCAAAGACTTTAAAACCTGAACCAATAAGGAAGAACTTAAAATTTTGTCAAATCAACACATTTTCTACGACTACTACTTTTTCTTTTCTTCTTTTCCTATAACAAAAATAAGGGTTCAGCCCCTATATTTTTTGAATTTTCTTTTCTTTCTTTTTCTTCTCATGAATATGTTGATTTTCTATACTTTAACATGAACTCTATACTTTTCTTATGAATAATTGTTAAGGAAATATGGTTATGGAACCTAGAGAACTACCCTAGGATCTATGTTTTCTACATAAAAAATAAAAATAAAAATAAAAATCCATTGCCTAGGTGCCCCGCCTAGGTGACTAGGCAACAAGGCACACCCCCCCCTGTCGCCTAGCCTCGCCTTGGCGCCTTGAAAACTATGTCCCCCTGGTATGTTCTGCATTTGCCAATAAATTATTCATCAACTGTAAATAGTATCTACCAGTTTGGAACTTTACAAGCCTGTAGAAAAATAATTTTTTATTGGAAACAGTTACTTTCATTACTGAACTTAAAGATATACAACTGTCAACCACCCAGAACTAGGTGTTGACCACATGATAAACAGATTACAACCATAGGAAAAGCATTATTCATCAACTGATCTTCAAGAGGCAATATGAATATCTGCATCAACAATTGCCTAGTCTCTGCAGAGGTGTGTCATATGAAATAGGGAACGGAAAACGTACTAAAAAATGACAAAAATAGAAGGGTAAATTACTTGTACAGTTGTACCTTGCCTAGGATTTTGGTCAAATACTAGATCGCCCATTAAGTTTAGCCATTAACCTACACCTTATAGCAACTTAGAGACTTAAAGTTATTTATTCCACCCCTCCACTAGGATGCCATCAGTTTTAGTGATGCAAAGTGTTTACATTACATGACATTTAAAACTTTTCAAAAGTCCTTCTACCCTTTTTGATACATCCTTGTATATTGGTCAAAAATACCCTCAGTCATACTTCTTAAAGGGACAATTTTTCTGCCAAAATGAAAGGTGGGAATGAAAAGTTGAAAACAGTTTAAGAAAAAACAAAACAACAAAATAAAATTTTAAATGGTAAAACTATATTTAATAGGTAAACTTATTATTTGTCTTGGTTCCATCTTTTCCATTAACAAACTTGCTGTAGTTCACTCATAGTCAAAGGAAGTATAAGTTAATAGGTAAACTTGAGAAGAGGTCTTAGTATTTGACCAAAAGCCTAGGGGAGTAACATGTTACCTAAAATAGAAACAAAAAAATTCAGTTGAAGGAAAAGCAAACATAGACAGGACATAGAAAATAATGACCTTTAGGATCATTCAATGGGCACTCACCTCATTGCGTGCCTCCATACCTTCTGGATTGTCAGCTCGAAAAAAATCAGCAGACTGAATCACAAAAAGTACACTCTATTAGAGCTAACATCATATTTTTTATCAGTAAGTTACACATCTGTGTACATGTCTTTATAATATTGTCTTTATAATAATATCTATAAGCAGGGTGTTGTGGAGCTAGCCCATTGCTACTCACCAACATCTACTTAGCAGACAAATTGATCTTTTACATTCGGTCTAAAGTATAACTTCCCCACATGCTCTATTTACTCTACATGAGCTAGAGAGTTGGCAGACTGAGGGACCCATGTAGAAACTGCTTGAAAACACTGAGACAGGTACCTGGCCTCTCTAATTTGGTGTTTGAGACTTCCCCTATCCACCATTTCACCCCTCAGCCAACCTATTATATGGTATTGGAATCCCCTTCAATTATCAGGTCTATCTATAAAACATCATAATGGACCAATTAATTGTCAAGGCAAGGTTAAGGAGCAAGATGTAGCCAGTATTCAAGCATTCCTACCTAAAGAAATCATATGTATACCAATGGATACAACCAATAAAAAACTATGGACAATTTATAATTCTTAACTCAAAATATCTATATCACAGACCTAATCCATACTAACTCTCCTACTTTTTTTTTGAGAAGGTAATGTAAATTTATTAAAAAGAGAACTAGAATACAACAGCAGTCAGCCCAAGAAAGGCTGAAACAATCACCATTACAGACACAAGACTGACTGTGTTCTCAGAACATGAGATACACTCATTTGGTTAAAAGATGGATTGACAGCAATCCAGGAAGCAAGCTTGCCAACTGCACATTGCACAATCTCTTCAGGACTCTTCTTTTTGTTACAGAACACTCTGTTGTTCCTCTCAGACCAAATGGTCCAAAGAATAGCTGCAGGAATTGTCTTCCACACCACTTTTCCTCTTTCCTTCAAACCTCTGATTTTCCAATAGCTAAAAAATTCTTTAACAGTTCTCGGCATGACCCAATTGAGTCCCACCACCTTGAGAAAATGAGCCCATACCCCGGCTGTTACAGGACAGTGCAGACACAGATGATCAGTGGATTTTGGATGTGTTTCACACAGCCCACAACAGATACCAGACATCGGAACCCCTCTCCTCACTAGATTCACTTTGGACAAGCATTTGTTAATGGCCATAGTCCAACTGGAAAGTTAACTTTAGGACTGACAGAGGTCCAAATCTGCTTATTTGGAAAGTTCTCAACACCTGAACTGCTTAACTTGCAAGCCAAAGAGTTAACTGAAAAGCACCCATTCTTGCTCCATTTCCAACTCCACTCATTCTCTGAATTATGTCAATAATCTGATTTTGAAGAGTTGCCAGAAGACTTGCAACCTCTTTCAATTCCCAGTCAAACAAGTTAAGCAGTTCAGGAGAGGGAATAATAATCAGCAATCAGAGCATCTTGATTTACAGCAACTTGAAACAGGAGAGGGAAGGAAACAGCCAGAGGAGTCTCCAAACACCAAGGGTCCTTCCAAAAGAAAATTCTATCACCTTTACCCACTTTGAAATTTAGACCGTCCACAAAGGAGGGGAAACTTTTTAAGATACCCTTCCAAATTGAACAGTCCCAACTTGAGAAGGGATCTTGAAAACTCCAACTCCCCCTAATCACTCCAAATTTGAATGCAATAAGGTTCCACCACCAAGCACCTCCTTCGTGAGAAAATCTCCAGCTATTTACCAAGGAGAGCCGAGTTGAAGACCTTGATTTTCCTCAAACCTAAACCACCTTCCTCCATGGGGAGGCAAATCTGATCCCAACCAACACAATGAATTTTCTTTTCATCCTCCCAACCCTTCCAAAGAAAATTCTTTTGAAGAGTCTCCAACTTCTTGGCCACTTTAGAAGGGATTGGGAATAAAGACAAGAAATAAGTGGGAAGATTAGTAAGTGTACTGTTCAACAGTGTAACTCTACCTCCAAAGAAGGGTACTTAGCCTTCCAAGAGGACAGCTTCTTCTCCATTCTTTCAATTACAGGATCCCAAATGGAGGAAGAGGTACATTGCGCACCAAGGGGGAGACCCAGATATGTAACAGGGAGAGACCCCACTTGACAGGCCATAACTCTGGCACACTCCACATTTCTCACCTGGCCGACTGGAATAATTTGGCTTTTACTCAAATTGACTTTCAGCCCTGTGACTATTTCAAACCAGCTGAGAATTCCAATAAGAATTTCCAACTGGGCAAGAGTAGCATCAGCAAAACAAAGTGTGTCATCTGCAAATTGTAGAATGTTTACTCCCCCCCCGCCGGACTGATAGCAAAATCTTCCCACAACCCAGCTTCAGCAGCTTTGAGGCTGAAAAGAGTTAGGGTTTCTGTAACACAAATAAACAGAAGGGGGGAAAGAAGTCACCTTGTCTCAGCCCTCTGGAACTCTCAAAGAAACCAGCCAACTGCCCATTAACCAGCACTGAAAATTTGGGAGTAGAAATACAAACTTTCACCCAGTTCCTCCATTTCTGCCCAAAGTTCATCTTATCCAGGACAAAATCCAGACATCTCTAATTTACACGATCATGTGCCTTTTCAATATCCAACTTCCCCTCTCTCTTCCTAGAGTCAATCAATTCATTAGCAATTAGGACTGAGTCTAGCATTTGCCTCCCTAGGACGAAAGCACTCTGGTTACAAGAAATCACATTTTTCAGCACCTTCTTTAGTCTTTCAGCCAATATTTTTGCTAAAATTTTATAAAAACTGTTCAAAAGACTTATAGGTCTGAAGTCTTTAATGTTCACTGCTCCTGCTACCTTTGGGATGAGGGTAATAAAAGTGTTATTCAGAGTTCTTTGCAAGGAGGCATTTGAGTGAAAAGCTTGGAATACATTAAGCAGATCAGACTTCACAAACTTCCAACATTTCACATAGAACAGATTTGTAAAACCATCCGGCCCTAGTGATTTCTCATTCTCTGAAGAGCTGATTGCTGATTTAATTTCCTCCTCAGTAAAAAGCCTTTCAAGGAAAGGTTTATCTTCTTCACTAAACTGCTTAAAAGGAAGAGGTCTGCGGGTCCAGTTCTCCTTATACAAGTTCTTATAAAAATAAGTGGTTATTAGCTTGATATCTGCAACTGATTCCCCCACTTTGTCTTCCCAAACCAGTTTACTAGTGGAGGAAATTCTGTTTCAGGCGATTGCCATTTTATGAAAAAACTGGGAATTTTTATCCCCCACTTTCAGCCAAGTGACTTTGGCCCTTTGTCTCCATTTTAGCTCCTCTTTAACTGCCAACTTGTCAAATAAAGCTTTGGATTGAAGTCTCTTCTCCCTTAGCACCTCCGAAATTGGCCTAACCTCTTCAGCTCTATCAATATCTTCAATCAGATTCAAAAAAGCTTTTTTTTCTGTTTCTGCTATTAAATTTTTCTCCAATTTCCAGATCTTGACTTTTTCTTTGACCGCTTTCAACTTTTTTGCTATTAAGAAAGAGCTGGACCCACCCTCCTTAGAATCACACCAAGCAGTCCTAACCAAGGGAAAAAAGCTAGCATCTTCTGTAGAGAACACTGATGTGGGCCCCACAGCTACGGTCCCACTATGTTCATAGGGTAGAAGATGTTCTAGTCTGCCTAGGGTTAGCTATTGATCATTTAGTTGTTTCAGTTGTTATTTATTTCAGTCTTATTTTTTGCTCTATTTGTTATGTAAAGACTAAGGGCAGATCTGTCCTTTCATGTAATGAGCATAACCTATAAATATTAATTCAAGTGGCGGCGGCA